ATTTTAGGATCGCTTCATAATTAGATATAAATGATAGAAAGATTTATAATGCTCCTCTGAAAATATAGTATAATTTTCTTTCATGATTGTTTTATTTTTGCCTCCAAGTTAAAACATTAGTTTACTTTTATTAGTATGTTAGGGCTCACAGGAGATAATTTTCTCATAAACTTTTGAGGGAGATTCATTATTTAGCGTATATTTATGATTTACTTGTTCTGGACATATCATTAAAAGGCAGCCAGTCATTGCTTTCCAGAGGTTTTCAAACATGGGTGGAAACAACGAACTATATGAAAAATACAATATGTAGTGAAACACAATAATAGAAGCTCACAATAGTGAGGAAGCATGTTGGAGAAACATCTTACTGTCTGAACATGATCAGCATAGTTTTGAACTGTATTTTGAAGGAAAGTAGAGTTTAGACACTCCACAAAAATATGGAAGGATGTTTCACGCCAGACTCAGCATATTTAGAAGTATAAATAAGGAATATAGGAGAATATATCGATTCCAGAATATTTTAGTAATTTAGTCTATCTAGAGCTAAAATGGAAATTATACAACAATACTAACTGAGGCTCAAGAAAAATGAAGATTTCATATAATAGACCACTTTATCATATTCTGGAATTTAGATTTCATTCCTCTGATAATTTCTAAAAACTACCTAAAAATTTTAAGTTAGAGCAGGGTCTAAGATACTGAAGGAGGAGGTAAGTGATGCATCTGGGAACATTTACTACTCTCAACCAACTAGTTTTCTCCTTTCATAAAATGTTGTCCTTATAATATCTAAGTACTAAATTAAATTTGTAATATAAATATAGCAGAAAATCCTACATAACACATATGTAAGACATTGAGATATAAACTATACTTAAAACAATAAGAATTATTGGTCAATGTACTGTAAAGGGCTGTTTTCTTCATTATGTATATTATTATCAAAAGCCTTCCTTTTTGTTGACATGGTAACCTGTGTACTCCAATTCTTTGCTATGAAACATACAGTTTTCTACTTTTTGAGAACTTCCTTAAATGTCTTTATTTTGGTCTTCTCAAGAACCTAGATGGATGAAAACTCACTTGTGTTTCTAACCAACTTATCTAGGAGATACTCACAAAAAAATGTACTTGCTATTTAAGGTGAGTCCAAAACTTCCCCACAGTTTCAGCCCAATAAAATTCTCATCTTTGTTCTCCAAAACTTCTTGCCCCATGTCTAGTCATTCATTGGAAGCCTCAAGAGAAGGAAAAACATGGTGCAGAACACTTTTCCTTTAAATAAACTCAACCAATTGTGTGCCTTTTCTCTGGGCTTTGAATTAGAGCTCATTTACTTGTCAATAGAAGTATGCCTCCAGTCTTCCCTAGCATATTGCTCGTTAACATTTCTAGCTAAAATATTGTGACACTAAGGCCAAGGTCATAGATCTCATCAGGGCTTTGCTCCTTTAGCTTTCTTTCTTTTTTTTTTCTTTTTCAATTGTCTTATTTAATACCACCTTTTAAATATTAGAAGTATGCCTCCAGTCTTCCCTATCATATTACTTGTTAACTTTTTTGGCTTAAACATTGTGGCGCTAAAGCCAAGGTTATAGATCTCATTAGAGCATTGATCCTTTAGCTTGCTTTTTAAAAAATTGTCTTTATTTACTGCCACCTTTAAAAATAATTTTTTCAGTGAATAATTTACCATTTCTTACCTTCTCTGCCTAGAACTACTAACTGCAAATAGATTCTATTCAGTTCTAAAATGAATAATGTACCATTTCTTACTTTCTCTACATAGAACTATTAACTGCAAATCGATTCTATTAATAAAGTTGTTAACTTAGAGAAGAAACAACTAGCCAATTATTTGATTCTAAAATTAACCAAATGAGGAAGAATTTTTGACCTTCCAGAAGAACATTTCTAACAATTGCAAATAATGCCTTGATAGTGAATAATTTACCATTTCTTACCTTCTCTGCCTAGAACTACTAACTGCAAATAGATTCTATTCAGTTCTAAAATTAATAGCAGTCATGGGAAAGAATTTTTGACCTTCTAGAAGAACATTTCTAACAATTGAAAATAGCTCCTTGACTGTCTTAGTTCATTTCTTATTCTAACACATAAAGGTCATTTGGTAATCTCATTGCATCCTGCATTTTATAAAGAAAATCCTACATTAAGAGTCAATAGAATTGCCATAATAGAGTCAGTAGTGTTTGGATAATGAACAGGATTGTTTTGTTTTCTATAAAGCATCCAGAAATTTAGATAATAAAAAAGTCATAATAAGTATTGGCAGAAGATACTACTTTTTGGATAAATGCAAATAACTGAATCTAAATGTGTATGTAGGCTTAAATTTCACCTAAAACATGGAATGAGCTATTGCCATAATGGATTCAGTAGTACTTGGATAATGAAGAGGGTTGTTTTGTTTTTTATAAGGTATGCAGAAATTTGATTAATAAAAAGGTCATATTAAGTATTGGCAGAAGTTACTACTTTTTCAATAAATGCGAATAACAATCTAAATGTGGTTGTAGCCTTAAATTTGACCTAAAACATGGAACGAACTATTAAAACTAAGGCTGATGATTATCTTCTTCATCAATCATCTCTTTATCATTTATCAATTATAATGCTTTCAAAGATTTTTAGAAGTACATAGCAGAGAGTTCCCAGGCCTCCTAATTGGTTTCCTCATCCTCCTGGGCATACAGTTAGACTTGCTAGATGCCTCACTTGCTGGTCTTATTCATCAGTCATCACTTTATCATTTATCAATTATTGAGCTTTTGAAGATTTTTAGAGAAGTACTTAGCAGAGAGTACTTGGGCCTCCTAATTGGTTTCCTCTTACTCCTGGGCATACAGTTAGACTACATTTCCTAGCTTCACTTTCTAGATGGAGCCATGTGACTGAATTCTGGCCAATAAAATATGGAACAATATGGTCTGCATCAATTCCTGGACTGCCTTAAACTTTTCCCCTGTTAGTTGTGTCAAATGGCAAAAACAGACAAACAAACAAACAAACAAAATACCAGGAACCCTTGGGAGCCATATGTTGACAGTTGTAGAAATACTATATAAAAGGAACTTAGGCCTCTGAATCACAGCTTGACGAATAGCAACTTCAATGAACTGTTACATGAGCAAGAAATTTAGGGGCTTATCTACCTTGTTAGCTAGTACCATTTCAATTAACATAGTTTGTCAAAATTTTATTAGTATAAAACAACTAATGACATATTACTCATTTCCTGGTCTGACTTAACCTTTTCCCCTGTTAAATGTAAGAAATGGAAAAAAAAAAAAAAAACCCAAAAAACCAAACAGGCAAGTTTGAAAGCCTTATGTTGACAATTGTAGAAATACGATATAAAAGCCGCATAGGTCTCTGAATCATAGCTTGTAGAACAGCTACCTAATTAGGAATGCCCTCAATGAACCGTTATGTGAGCAAGAAATTTACGAGCTTATCTATCATGTTAGTACCATTTCAACTAACATAGTTTGTCTATTTTATCAGTATAAAACAAC